GTGGAGCTATTTATTTCTCCCCTTCAGTCTCTGGGGCAGTAGCTGGCTGGATGCACAATAGGTCCCTCCTGCCCCTGCCCACCAGCAGCTACCATGAACCTTGCAATAACAAGTAGGTGCAGTAGGGCTACACAGGCAGGGTCTCTTTGGTCCAGGACAGAGGGTGTTTGAATATGGCTCGCTGGCCCACTGGGTGATAAAGAGTTCATGATCTGGCCCCACATGCAAAAAGGTTGGACACCCCTGTTCTAGAAAACGTGTTGCTTCCGGTATTTACGGAAGACTTGGTAATGAACAAAAGTTTTATAACAAGTAGGTGCAGTAGGGCTACACAGGCAGGGTCTCTTTGGTCCAGGACAGAGGGTGTTTGAATATGGCTCGCTGGCCCACTGGGTGATAAAGAGTTCATGATCTGGCCCCACATGCAAAAAGGTTGGACACCCCTGTTCTAGAAAACGTGTTGCTTCCGGTATTTACGGAAGACTTGGTAATGAACAAAAGTTTTAAGAGTTGGACTTCATAACTTGTGAAAATCCCAGCTGGACTTGTGCAAAGTCATTGTGGCCTATGCAAAAATATTTTGTTAAAAACTGCCTCTCTATAATGGCTAATTAAGTTACTTTTGAAATCAGAATAGCTATTGCAAATAGTTTCTTGGAATAGCTTCATGTATGAAATCAGATGGGTCAGTAGAGGAGACCCTGGTAGAGGCTTCTTAAATGTGCTAGTGTTCTTAGCTGTGAGCTCTTGTAATAGAGGTGGGGCTAGGAAACGAGCAAGCCCACTCGCTCCTAAACCCAGTAATTAGGCAGCGTAGATGGTTTGGACAAGTCCTAAGTGCATGCTTTGCATTGTAACGAAGAAATAGGTGGATCTCATTTCTTAATAGCAGTCTTGGGTGCAGCAGGGATATAGGAGACAGATTTGGAAACCAGCTTATTGCATCTCTTTCTAAGGAAATGACAATATAAGCCTTACATCAGAAATTAGGCTTTTTTTTTTTCTTAATGAGGTTTAAGGAAAGTACTTTGTGTTATCAGTTAATTTTATACGTGTCTTTTTTCTTTTTAAGCTGTTCGGAGTCTTTTGGGCTGCATACAGTGCTGCTTCATTGCTGGTTGGAGAAGAATTTAAGACCAAGAAACCCCTTCTGATTTACCCAATTTTTTTGTTGTATATCTATTTCTTGTCCTTATATACTGGGGTGTGATATAGTGTTGGATGTAGTCAGAAATAATACTTCATACACATGCAGACTGGTAAGGCATAAGATTAAAATGGTTGCAGAAAATAACAAGCAGCTGTGCTCTATCCAGTTGTCAGGAGGTTTTGAGATCTAAACCATGTGTGTATATTATTTAATTCAGCAACTGTAGCTATATAGATTTGTATCAAAGTTTTAGGTTTGTTTAAGACTCTCCAGATTTTAATGAACAAAATATAAGAATCTTGTGTTTTATAAAATTGTGTAGCAAAAATACATCTTGACACCTGTGCCAAAAATACCAGATGACCATGTTATATTGAAAGGGTGTGAAAAAATATTAGTCTCAAAGTGCAATTTTTCTTTTTGGTTAAATACAGCTGGATTTTTTTGGCACAGCAAATTCTGTAGATATCTATTTATGAACCAGTCCTAATTGTTCACAAAACAGTCTGTATAAATTGAGATATTCAAATATTATTTTAATTTAGTGCCTCATATCTTTGATTTGGCTATTGAGTTTTATAAATTCTAATTTTTTTAAAAAAACTGTACATAATACATATTTTGTATCTACTCCTTGTGCACATCATCGGTACTCCTTGGTTGAGGGTGTACACTGGGTTTAAACACTTGAACACTCAACTATTTGAGAAGGAGCAAGTAGTATAGTGTGACACCAACTCATTAAATTGCTTATTTGCAGAATCAGTACACTTTATTTTATACTTAACAATGAGAATTTAAGTCACACAGAAACAACTTTGTCAACTGAAGCATTGGAGTAGTAATATGGGAGAAGGAAGATGATCTTTCAAATTTTTGTGATCTTGAGAAATGTTTTGCAATGACAAAATAAACAGGATGCATCCTTTACCTTGTTTTATAAAGCCTTGTTCTGTTTTGCTTTCAGAAGCACATTGTTTAACAGGTCTTTCCCCCCACCAAATATACCAATCATGTATAAAGTAAAATGTTTAGTTGTTGATTTTTTTTTTGTTTGTTTTTTTTTTAAGGCCTGATTCTGCCTCTGAGTAGATGAGGCAGAATCACAGTCATAATAAGTAACACATTTTGATTATCAAAAGATTATGTAATAACATTATGACTTATTAAATATTTACCTGTGTATGTTGTATAAATGGTTTCTATAGTTGTCCTTGTTGACAGTATTCATGTAAAATGAGTCTTCACAAATAGCAAGTCTGTTGAAGCTAACTTCGCATGATGCCAGCTTTCTCGAAGCAAAGTTGTTTGTAATCTTTAGTATCTAACCCTTGCAGATATTGGTAAGTTGTGTCTAAGTTGCAAAAACATCTTTTTGGGAACCCTTTTTAAAAAAGAGGTAACTTCAGGCATCTTCATTCTGATGTATTACATGCAAAAATATCAAGTGCTAGGTAATATGAAGGGCTCTTAGCTCCCACACTATACAAGCTTTTGTATGTGAGTTTGTTCTGCATATATTAGACAGTTATGTCTGTCTGCATAACTTGGAACTTTATTAAATGATATAATTTCCTACTTGATAATGGAATTATTGATTAAAAATTTGAACTTTAAAAACTCTCAGTCAAGGGAAACTAATTAAGTCACTGCTTAGGATCCTGGAGACTAGACTAAATTATTTCAGGGTAGTACTGGACAAATGCTATGATAGCAAATCCTAACTTTGCTAGGATAGGTCTCACAATACACTTAAAAAGTAGGATAATTGTAGTACAATAACTTTTAAACTATGTTTTAATGTAATTGTTGGCAGAATTGGAAATAAAAAATTTTGTAGTTCAACAAATAGGTGTTCTAAAAGTAACTGCAGCTTATTGAAGCCGTATAGACATCTACTGATGTATTTTCTAGCTACTTTATTTCACAATCTTTTATAGTAAATGCAGTTCATATTCCCAGTGGTTTTGAGAGTATTTGTGCCCTGTTAAAGTGGTATATGTGCACTAGCAGCACAACTGTATTTTGACTTTATCCAGAACCATGTTTGATTGATGTGGTCTTTTATCTTTACAATTTTAGGGCTATATTTTCATCTTTAATAGGGAGATCCAATTACAACTTTAAACTTTTAAGTAATCAAGATATTTGTGAATAATTACAATTAAATACATAAAACACTAGGAGTTAGCATGCTTAGGAGTTGGTGATCATTGTGTTATTTACATACCCGGTTCCTTTTCATGTCGGCTTAACATTTCTCTAAGTATTTTGTTTTATGCTATTATCTTCTAGTTGCTGTTTTAACTATTCCTTTCTGCAAACATAGTATCTGTATATACAATATGTAATGTAGATATATATGCATTAGACATAGTAAATATTTTATACACAATTGCAGATTTGCACCTTTTACCTAAAAAAATGTTTACTTTCACATTTTGCATATATTATGCAAGGAATCTGTACTTAAACACTTCTCAAATGGCGCCCAATAGTTTGTTATAACTCGTATTTTTAGATCAGGTATGTATGTAAATACAGCGTAAGATGTATTTTATAAAGATTTTGAATTAAACTTGTTTACGTAATGTAAAAAGCTTTATTTATATTCACTGAGTCAGAACACATACATTTACATTCCTATACATGTAATAAGTTTCATATTCTAGAATTGTAAATAAATATTTAGGATTATGAAGTGTATACATGTTTGTCATACTTGAAAGTATAAAGCAGACATCTTGACAATTAGGCAAATGTTAAAAAATGATGTGGATAACGTATAGGCATATACGGAAAAAGAGGCATCTTTTTCTGATAAGCTTTTGCATAGAGAACAGGTGTATACAGAGGCCTTTTCCCTTTCTTTCCCTTCTATAGTTGTTGGAGGGAAACACTAGCTTTAAGATTTATTTTAGCCACATGTGACGACTTGGTGAGGATAGTGTAGTTTGACTTTTGCACAGAATACTTTTTTCTTTATTACTACATTTATGAGTCTCATATTCCCCTGAAATAATGAGAGAATGCCAAAAAGCTGCTTTTCACAGACCTGCATCCATTTTTATCCTTGTGCTTCTGCCTGTTCTACATAAATATCATCTGTTTAAAGCGGAATTCTAATCTTGATTCAAGAAGAGAAGTAGGTACTGCCTTTGATTGAATCTTACTGCAAAACAAATCCTGTTATACACGTTTATCCTGCGGTAGCAGGGCATTCTAAGGAGCTGATGGTGTGTTTTTTAAACATTTATCAAAAGTCCACCACCATCCCTGGACCCATAATAGACGGGCACTGCAGCTGGAAATGGATTCAGCTTGAAAAAATTAAGGGAGAATCTGGTTAAAAATAGTTGACTGGAGAGGTGCTGTCAGGGCTTCAGTAGCTCAGTATTTTATACTCTCTAATATTAAAAAAATATAGGGTTTGTAGAAGCATGCTTTGCTTTGAGCATACGGGTATTCAGCTTTTATCTCTAGCATCAGGTAAGCACTTTTTTCATCCTGATGCTTATATAGTCTTACAAAAAGGCCGCTAGAGTCCACAGTAGGCTAGGGCATATCTTAAGAGTAGAGATAACGGTTCAGACCTTTAGAAGACCTCAGCATTGATTTTTTTTTTTTTTTTTTTTTTTTTTTTTTTTTTTTTTTTTAGTGCAGAATTATGCAGCTTAAATGAGTAAATCTAATCTTGAAAGTAAGTGTTCAAGCTGAAGCCAGAGAACAAACACCCCCTTTAAAATACCACACAGTCTTGGGGGAAAGTCAACTTTATCAATCACTTTTGATTATTTAAAATGTTAGAGGTCTTATTCATTAACTGCTCTGAGTCAATTGGTTGATGGCTTCCAGGAGCTGGAAAAGAAGAAAGTTGAATGGAGCGAAAACTAAGAGCTGGCATTTTCCAAGGGATACCTCAAGTCTAAAAAGGTTGAGAACCATTCACCTAAACTAGCCAGCTGCATAAGAAGTGAAACGACAACTCTCGTCAGATGAGGATGAGAGATCCTGCTGGTGAAAGATCATCTGATCTGTCCCTTGCTGGTTTTCTTCGTTGCCATTGTGCAGGCTCAGGTTGTCTCAACTTCACCTTTTGAATAGGCCTACAGCATCTCGGGGTGGAAGAAGCCTACATGATTCACAGTAGAAGGTCTCCTCTTTGCATACTTCTAGGAGGCCAATATACTTATTCAACTTTCTTCTTTTCCAGCTAGAAACAGTCTACCTATATCTGTACATTGGATATGTCAAGTTGAGTTTGCTAGCTAGGATCATGGTTCCTTATGCCTGAATAATTAGCTACTGGGTAATTGTGGAGAGATCCAGATTATCAGTTTTAGCCTGTTGCAGTGGTGGGGTGCAAGTCCTTCAATGTGCTAGTGGGATCTGTGTGTCCTAAGGAAGGAAGCATTTACTTTAAAAGCTCCAAGCACTTGACTGCGCCACCTCTATTCCTGCATCTCCCTGCACCGGGTATGATACCTGTTGTACCCAGGATAGCTGGAAACTCTTACTTTATCTGGAGAAGTACAAGAGAAGCTAAACCGTGTGCAGGGAGATTCTCAGGCAATATTAACAAGAGCAGCTACACACAGCAGAGAATACACAAGCTTACTCAGACTCCGACCTTGATTTGAGACCGCTTCCAGATTCCCACCCCTCCGCCTGGGTGTTGGAGGAAGTTTGTACAGCTCAGGTTCAGCTTTCTCTATTCCCACCCATTCCTCTGAGATAAGGCAGCTCTGGGTCAACAGAAATGAAATACAATTTGGGAGAGAGCAGGGATACTAAGTCCTGGCCTGTGGGCACATCTACATGAAATGCTAAAGGTGCAGTAGACTAATTCTGCTGCGCATTAGTGTTATAAAAAGCATGTGCCAGTGCTACTGTGTGGTAGCACTGATTACAGCACACTTAGTACCTGTAATTACAGGTACTAAGTGTGCCATAATTACAGCACATTAATGAATGCATAGATGTGTCCTATGATCACTGTTCTTTCGAGGTCCCCTTATTAGCAGGGATTGTGGTTTTCTGATGGATAAAAATCGCAAATCCTCTGAGTAGAAAAACCCCAAATCCATGTTTTTCCATGATTAAAATGAAATGCTACTACACATACGGGTATTGGTTGAACACAATGTTTTATTGCTATATTTACAATTTTAAAGCAATTTGGAACCCTGCAAGTACCTCAATAATTGTAATAAAACAAATTCTAAATGCCTATATATTTTTGGGGTTTGATTTTGTTAATTTTTTATCATGCAAAATCAGAGTTCCCCCTTCACTCCCTAGGATGTGGGTCCAGCTGTGGCTGTCCCCTGCTTACCTGCTGCTTTGTGGCCCTGAGCAGCCCTTATAGGCAGGTGCACTGCCCCTGTCCATACTCTTACCCCTCACTCCCAAGCCACAGCACCCCCCCCAGCCCTGCCAGTCCCCCTCACTTGACCAGGGTCATCCCTGGGGGGAGGCCGGGGGTGCGAATCAGGGCACTCACCCCCGGCCCTGTGCTTTGGGGGTTCCTGTGGAGCTGGGCAGAGCAGCTGTGGCCCCTCCTGCAGCGTCCGCCTAGTGCTGGTGACTATGCTGCCTGTGCCCGCCCACCCTAGCCAGCTTCTTTGCATCCGGGCCCTGCACCCTGCTAGGGTCGTCTCTGCTCATGACCTGCAGCCCTGCCGGTGCCCCTCACTCCCAACTTGCAGCCCCCGCAGTGCCCCTCGCTCCTGACCCACAGCCGCTCCAGTAGGGCTGCCAACTCCGAATCTATTCTGGGAGGTTTCATCACATGACAATGCCATTCATGAGTCACTAGGTCAGGAGGCAAATGCACACGACCCTTGCATTTTAAAAACCCACTGGACTACTATACAAATTGGATTCAACATGTAATATTTATTTTAATGAATGCCCTATCATCAATCTCCCGCGGGACTGCCAGCCGTCTCCTGGAAACTTGTGTCTCATTCCTGCAGACTCCAGGGCAACCCCGGAGGGCTGGCAACCCTTTCCTCCAGGCCTGCTAGTGCCCCGAGATCCCCTACTAGCAGGAATCGTGGTTTTCTCCGCTACTGCCCCTCCCAACCTGCTGCTCCCTACTTCCCAGGGCACAAGCAAAGGGGTGGATGTGGGCCGCGGATGCAGCTTCTGCCCAGAGCGGGTCCGGCCTGCCCGCAGAAGCCCGGGGTCACGTGCCCGGATCCCCCACGCGCAAGTGGCGGGGAAGCAGGGGCCGGCGCCGCTCAGCTGAGCTGCCTTGCACGGCCCCACCCCCGGCGCAGCACACGTGACCAGGGGCAGGGCTCCGGGCGCCCTCCCAAGCCCCGGCTCGTAGTTCCCCACCTCTTGTGCTCCCCCCTGCGCCACGCGCTGTCAGTTCCGTCTCCGGCGCGATTGCGTCACTTCCGGCGCACGCCGGCGCTCTCCCTTTCCCCCTTTCCCCGGACCCGGATGGTGGCTGGCGGCGGCGGCGGCTCGCGGGACTGTTACTGAGCGGCTCCCTCGGGGTCTCTTGTCCTGGGCGGCGGCGGCGGCCGGGAAGATGGCGGCGG